TGTAAAAGTGAGACATGTTTGAGAGCTGTCTCTAAGGCACAAATAAGTTAATTGGGAGCGATGATGGACATGAAAGAGTGTTATGGGCACAGGAAGAATCCATAAGAAGGCATAAGTTTTAAAGGAATGTGGTATTTCCAAGGGTATGGGAAGAATGTCAGGTAGACCACTCACAGGAGGGAACATGGAACGAGTGGAGACTGAAGAGATAAGCAGATGCTAAATTCTTCAGGATTTTATAAGATACTTTCAGAATCTTGGTCTTTATTTTAAGTGAGATATGCAAAGTATAGTGACACAGTTTTGTGTGAGAAATGGACTGGGAAGGACAGAGGGGAAATAAGGGAGGCTAAGGAGAAAGAAATCTGCCATCTAATATTCCAGATGAGAGATGATGCTGGCTTGGCCTAACATTGCAGTGGTGAATTGAAGGGGTGAGGACACATCCAAAAGTTATTTTGAATAAGAAACTGAAAGACTGGAAATAAACTGATGATTGGATTTGAGGACAATAGTAATTCAGATAACTTTCAGTGTCTTCCATGAGCCATTGGCTGGATGGGAAGTGTTCACCAAGATAAGGAACATTTTCCTGGTCTAATTTAATTCTAAGGCTAGATGGTTAAACTGTTGATATAAATATAAAATCCTGAGCTAAAATATGGCTTTTTTGCAAATTATCACATCTTGTGGTTTGACACTGTCCTTAGGCCAAGAAAAATATTTTAATGCTTGGTTGGGTTTTCTGTTTTGAATTCCATTACACTTTCCAAGAGAAGTCCACTGTGGGACAGCCCTACAGGCTGACTCAGCACATGCCTTGGGGTCCCGGGAAAATAGAAGCTCTGGAAATTTTTAGAAAAATAGCATTTATATTAGCTGAACACAAATTTGGAATCCTAACATACACAGAGAATCTCTTTTAATATCAGCATACAATTAAATTTTGCATTTCTCCACTGAAAATACTTTTTATTTTGAATTATACAGTGGTAATGGTGGTGGTGACGATGGTGGTGGTAGCAATAGCCGTAGCAATGGTGGGACATGTGACAATGAGGGTACTTGTGAAGGTGGCAGTGGTGATTCTGATGGTGACAGTAATGGCACTGGTGATATATGGTGGTGATGTTATGATGGTAGCCATGATAATCATATTGGTGGATTTTGGAGGACTCACATAGTCTTCAGTCTTGAGTATCATAGCAGACCTCTGAGAAGTTGGCTACTTTGCCTATTGCCTAAGCAGGGCTATAACAGAAATTTCAGAGAACTCTTACTCCTCTTTTCCCCCCTCATGAACATATGTTTAATTCACATGTACTAGTTACTTTCCAATTATTGTTGTGGATAAAGGTCAGAGGATTAGAGGTTGTATTTTCTGTGATAGAGCTCTTATGTACAGGCCAGCTTCCTGGCAGGGTTGGTTGTACATGTTTCAAGCTGTATTTGTAAGGATTTTAGAAAGTAGGAAGTTTAAGGCTACTGTTCTGGTTCTCTTTTGCATCACTATACTTCTCCAGGGAGAAGCTTCTGTTTCTTTTTCTTGTTGTATCATCACCTTAATTTTTCCAGTCTATTGTTTTCATTCTTATTGTCTCTGTGACTGACAGTTTCTGACCATGTGAGTATGGGCAGTTCTCCTGTCTCCTGCATTTTCTATGCTGAGCTTTCTTTTTCTTCTCAATATGAGAACCTAGTACCTTGCAGACTTCCACTAGTTTTTTTTTGTTTTGTTTTTGTTTGTTTGTTTTTTTTTTTTGTTGTTGTTGTTATGTTCTCTGTCTTTTCAGGATAATGCACATTCCAAGAGGCAGACTTTGCTCTATCTACTGCTTTCTTTTCAACAACTGCAATAATACCTGGCACACAGTCAGTGTTTAACAAATATTTGTGAAATGAGCATACAGATTTATTTAACTGCTTTTTTATGATTAAATCAAATGAATGTAATAATTCTAGTGTCATCTGGTTACTTTGGGGATTAAATAAAATGATGTGAGTAAGCTTCCTGGCACACAGTGCATGGCCTAATAAGGGCTGGTGAATTCTGAGATTCTTTTAATACTCCTCTGTGTTATAATTTATTTCTATTTAGTATTTAGATTGATAATTCTGGTTAGCTTCTTGTTTCCTTAGTGATGTTTCTATATTTTCTTAACGGCTTGTCTTTCCCTTCATAAAACAATTTGTTCCAATGACATATTCAGTGGACCTGATTGCTTCTCTCTTTCACCTTATTAACAAGAATTATATTGTTATTGTTATTATTACTATGCAAACATACAATTAACCTTAAGTATGTAAATATTCTAATATGATGCTTTTATAATTGTAAAATGCATGTATTATGGTTACTATAGCTAACGGTGAAACAATTCATTATTCATAAATTATCCTTCATATGATGAATTATTTTATAAGGTAGCTGTTATTTATCTTCAGCTGAAAGACTAGGAAACTGATTCTCACAGAAGTTAATAATATATGTTCAAGAATACATATCTAGTAAATTAGAGACCAAAAATCCTCCTTGCATGTGGCTTCTGATTCTTTATCTATCCATCCAAAGTGATACCTGCACAATGTCAGGCACAATAGTAGGCTCTGCTCACACAATAAAGAGAAAACCTGTGTAAAACCTGCCTATAGGTCCCTATTTGTGATTGCTGCAATTATTGCCACTGGCACTCTGCTGACATAGTACAGTATGCTCTAGTTCTCAAGTGAACCTGAGTCAGCTAGTTTTACTTCTATATTTTAGTTTTACCTCAAACCTTGAATATCTATCTGCTTCCATGAATTGTCTGTCTTTATTGCTTTTGTGTAGGCTCTCAAATTACATATTTTTAACTCCACTTCCTGTCTTTTTCTTGTCATATAGGCTCAGAACTTTGAAGCAGTCTTTCATTTCATAGTTTGAATTCACACCCAACATCTCTTGATTGCTTTTATCTTTGAAACTATCTCTTACTTTTTATCTCTCCAGTGGCTCTCTACCATTCTAATATCAACTGATGTTGCTCTGATCCTCAGTTTGCTGAAATAGCCTTAAGGCTGTGTTCATTAGTTTTAAGATTTCATTAGATTTTAAGCTTCCTTAAAGGCACAGTGTCTGCTTGTTTGTCCTTATTTCTTCAGTATGGTGGCTGGCACATAGCAGTGATTAGAAATTAAAGCACCTCTGATATTTTAGACTGCACTTCTTAGACTTATTCTGCAGGTTCATCTCTAAAAGATTATATAATTATATTACATACAGACCCTTTTTTACATCTCTAAGAATATGTACTATATTTTTCACAATGGACATTTCTGCTTCCTTCCAGGAGTGTTTGCTACTGGCTTATATGTTTTACCTTCTGCTGCCACTCATTTGCAGGGAACTGAGACTACATCCCTAAAGAAATTTGTTGAAAATTACAAATTAGTAACTATTGACTCCATTAAAACAGCACTGTTCTTTCATTTATTGTTGCTACCATAACTCGATAGAAAAATAGTTTGAGAATGTCTACAGGTTATACAAAAATCATGAACCACTCATAACTTTAACTGTTTGTGAGAATGATATGTTGTTAATCCTTGTGCCCAAGGATCCTTTTGCCTGTTTTCTGGAAAAGAATGACTTTGAACTTCTAAAGCTCTGACTCACTATGTTGGAGGCTCAGGAGACTGATAGATGGAGAGGAGGCAAGCCAGCAGTCTTTTTTCTCACACACTTTTCTCACTTGAACTATCTGTGCCTGAGTTCCAGACCGGGTGCCTGAGTCTTCAATCTTGCCCAAAAGAAAAAAGCTGGCATGCAGGTGTGGAAGGGAATCTGACCTTCACAATATTTTGGCTTTACTTTTCTTATTATAAGTAAACTGTTTGCATAGCTAGCAATACCTGTGACCTGAAAGAAATTCTTAATATTTTAAAGAAGTGAGGCTTATGTATTTCTAAATGCACATTTCTAAGTTATTATGACATTTGGGATAATTAACCCTGTGGACCAAAGAATATGTATATATACTTTCTTCAAGATTTATATTGACATGGAATAATAACTAGATAATCATATCCCAAAATAAATCATTTTACAAATAACTTATGATTACTGAATCTCTTATTCATTAAGATTGCTGGCCTTTTTATAAAGATAATAACTGTAATTTAATGTTTATTATATAACAGCATGCAAACTCCAGCAAAAAACTTGAATGCCTTCTAACATGTGACATTGGGCCATAGAACTTGACAAATGATGACTTGGACCTGAGAATCTGCCAGCAGTGGAGGTTTTTTAACTGAAGAAAATTACCTAAAATGATACGCCTTAGTTTAAGTCCTTTTTCTTCTACTGAATACTATGCAGTGGCAAAATCTAGCTTCACTGTGTAACAGCAATAACTAGGACACTTATTGTGTCAACTAGGAGATAGGATGAAATTTCCAAAGCTGACTTTGGGAGATAAATATTTCTGTAAGAACTGAATTGGATCACATTTATTCACTCAAAACAGTTTTGAATATGTACTAGGTACCAAGGATTTTGCAATGTAAAAAACAGACATAATTAATGCTTTCTTTTACATTTTAGTGAAGAAATGCCAATAAACACATGTGATTTTACATAGTAAGAAGAAAATCCACAGGAGAGTATGCAGCAAGGGAGAGTTACTTCTGTTTAGGGAGGTCAAGAAGGCCTCTGTGAGAGATGACATGTGAGGTGATCTGATGTTTATGTGTTGACCATTATGTGTAAATTTGGGAGAGAGCAGTCTAGGCTCTAATGAAACTGAAAGGCAGGATGGCTGCAGGGTGGTGATAGGAAGCTTCAGATGCTAAATGTGCCTGAGGCTATTGTGAGGAGTCCGGATTTTATTCCCTTGCTGGTGGGATTCCACTAAAGGATTTCAACAGAGGCAATGGGCAGATCTGTAGCGACTAACTTCAAATATATATTGTGGAAAGGTTTCTTTGAAATGGAAATGATTTTTCTTTGTGTTTTATAGAATAGACCAGAGGGCTGCTGCCACTTGGCCAAAGGATGCTTTTGAAACTCAGCAAGACTTAAATGAGGTAGGTGCCATTGCTTGTTATGTGAACATAAATTAGCCAGTCACGAAATTTATTATGCTTTTCCACAGATAGAAATTCTTTCTGATAAAAACTTTTAAGTATTTTTAATCTTAAGTAAACTTGTTGTTCTTGTACTTCTTTGTTCAGTTGGTGATATTTTTTCCTTGTTCTTGAGCAAACACATTTAAAATATTATTTTCCAGATTGCTTACTATGTCTTAGATATGACTCGTGTCCATCAAGCTTCATTATATAGCTTTCAACTTTGATTTAGGATTGTGTAACCATAGCTATCAGAGCTAAGATTTATAAATTTTTCTTTTAATTTGATTTTATCTATATCTGTTTTTTCCATTGTCTTTTGCAATCTAAAGCATAATCACACCTACTGTTTACCCACTGAACATAACACAGACTGGTATTGGCATTATAGTCTTCTTAGTATACAGATATGAAGTCATATTTTCCAACCCAAATGATTTCTCCCTAAATTGGACATCACAGCATTATTAGCTTGTTTTAGATTTTCTTTGAAATATATAATTGAATTACAATGTTGGAAATCAATATAATGTAATTAGGGTACTGCCTATTATGAATGCCTGGGCTTAAAACATTGTTTTGGAATGCCCTGTCTGGTTTTTCTCATTAAATTAGAGCAGTGGGTGGTGTGTGGTATGTCTGATTAGCATCATAGCAAATGAAATAAGACTTGATACTCAGATGCCTCGAAAAGAAACTATGGTCTTAAAGCAATTGTTTGGCATTTTGAAGATTCATATTTCCTCTCTCAGCTCCCATCCCCATGAAAGTCATTAACTAAATTTAAGCAATTGGCATTATCTCCTTTTGATAGAAAATGAATAGCCAAAGATAAGCCAGATATCTGGTTAAGCCACGTTAAATAAAGTTACAACCAAACAAAACCAAACCCCAAAAAAACCCAAAATAAGAACATAATATACTGTCAGTATACTGTTTACTTTTGTGAATGTACATAGAGAAAGCTTTAAGCTTTCAAATCCCCCCCATCTTGTTGAGCATAACAAAAGTGAAAGAATTTAAAAGAAAAGAAGAGTCTGATCAGTGAACACAGCTGCCTGTCCCACTGTGAACAAGCAATATACTAATTGTAAATAAGCTACGGTATTTTGACATAGGTGATGGAAAAATAAGAGTCAACTCATGATAGCTCTCAAATATTTGGAAGAAACTTGGATTTTCGAGCTAGAAACCCAGGAAGAATGCTATGATAACTTGAGAGTTCTGAAATTACAGTTATGAAAACATGGGCATATTTGGAAATCTGCTTTGCTTCATTCTTTTACTATATTATATTTGCAAATGACATAGTTCATTGCACTGACATCACATGAGGTCAAGAGCATTGAGATGAGAAATGTGCTTGAAAGAGGAGGCACGACCGTGTTTTAAATGTGCACACCTGGGGAAAGGGGGGTGCTGCAGATCCAGATTGGTTTCATACTCAGTGTGTGCTCGAAGTGGTTTTGTTTCATTTGGGCTAAAATGTACGTGCAAACTCACAGTTTTTTATGCAGCTTTCGTTTTGACCAAAATTTGGGATATTGAAAGTGGCCTTAGAGAAACCTGAAGTGGGCAGAATGAGTGAAATTGCAGAGAGAGAGTTGCTATGGTCACACTCACTTCTGAAAACATCCTGCAGAATGGCAGTCTAAAATGCCTCTTTCCCAGCGTTCCTCAGACTCATTGAACACCAAATTCTTTTATGGAAAAATGCCTTAACATCTCTTTAGGCAACAGAATTCTATGGAACATAGATGGGAAACATTACTTTAATATTTTGATGGAATTGGAAAATACATACAGAAATGTGCACAGACCATATGTATGCAGCTAGATGAATTTTTAGGAACTGTGTCACCCGCATCTAGATCAAGAAACCTAACATAAATAGCATCCCAGTCATCTCTGTAATTCTTTCCAGTCACTACTCCTTTGGGAAGATGACTGTTACTTAAAAGAAATTTTTTTTGCTTCCTTTTGAGCCTTTTATACATGGACTATAAGAAATTTTTTTATATCTGGCTTGTTTTTTTCAATGTCCTGTTTGTGAGACTTAATCACGTTTTCCATGTGATTCTAGTTTTTGTTCAGCTTGTTGTGGCATGCTGCATGGTTGTTTCTAGTTTTCTAATATTATGATCAGCTATTACTGATTATATATTTTATGATGAGCCACTTTCCAACCTCTTTGTGCAGCTAACTTTTACAGGAGTATCCCTTCATCATGAAATGAATAAGTATGGCAGAATAGTTTGCTGTATTAGTGCTGTTCATCTCATTGCTCCTTTTATTTATTTACTAAACTTCCCTCAGTCTTATTGTTCTTTAAAATAACTACTAATTTTACATCTGTGCTTTCTTCCACACTAACTTGCAAGGCAACAAAAGTAAAAGTAAAACAAAAATCTCATAAGCATCATGGAAAGATAGCCCATAAGTATTTTCCAGTTGTTCCCATGGACCCTATTACATATATAATAACATTTAGAAAATGTAACATATGTGCCTTATACTTTCCCCAAATTTCACAATTGACATTTGAACGTATTCCACATGCTCTGTCGTGGATAAATGGAGCTCAGGTGTTGTTGGGTTCCAGGGACGTACTTGACCGGGGAAGTTTTATGTCCATCATAGCGAAACATGGTGAAATGCATCTGTGTGTGTGTTTCAGCACTCTCCCAGGAGTTTGAAACACTTGCTTCTGTTGAATTGGGTTTACATTTGACCTGCCAAAATCACTTTTCTTCTGCCAGTCTAGAGCCTCTAGATTTTGACTTTCGGTATTTGATAGGATTTGGGCCTCCATTTTATTTTCTGGGGTGGGTCTGCGTTATTTGTTTCTGAAAAACAAATTAAATGCCCCTCCTACCACATGCCTGAATTTTCTGACTCTACCTCTGCATCTGAAAATTTTTGTTGTTGGGCATCTCCTGTATCCTGATTGGAAAATATTCTATACTAGAAATCTTGATTTCTTAACCTCCCTAATCATTGATTTTAGGTATTCCATCATGTTGATATAAGCACTCAGTAAATCTAAAAGTTACTTGAAATACAAAATGAAGAAAAATACTTGCTCTTATTTTCTGTACCCTGTTGATCTCATTTCAAAATATCAATTAGGAAAAAATAACATATATAAAGAAAGCTAATAGCCCTTCCTTTCCATGAGCATACCTGCCATGCTGGGGGGGGGGGTAAGTAGACTGCAGATCCTAGAGCAATACATCAAATCATTTTAGTTCTTCATGTGTAAAATTAGGAAAAAGGTTTTAAATTAGGCTAACTCTATGACTCCTTTCAGTTTTAACATTCACTATTCTATTCATTTTCCTGGTGTTTGTACAAGTCAGCTTATAAGTTCCCATCAGGAAAGGGATGGTGCACATTGTCCCTAGATTCAGGACTAGTTGGGGAGGTAAATAGTAAATCGTGATATAAAAGTGATGTGTGCTTAGCATAGTTATCACTTTTTGATGAGGGTTACACACATCATATTATCATAAGCAAGGAATTGGGAGGACTTGAGGATCCAGCATAAGGTCCCTGTCTGATTCTGTCATTATCTTTGTTGAAGCCAGTTCTTACATCATCATTCTATAAAAGGAAATGATCCTTTGAAATTTCATGCATAACCACTGGGCTCAAGCTTCTGCTCATTTTCTTATCCTATAGATGCTAAAGGTATCTTGCACTTGTTATTCTTTGGCTAAATCAAGTGTCAGCTGAAAATGAATTTGTTTCCATGTCAGTTTTTACTTAGAGCAGTGGAGACAGCCCTATCGCACATGTGCTGCAGTAGGCTGTTTGTATTATTGAAAGCTCTAAAAGGTTCACCGTCACTGTCCTAGCAGTAAGGTGATCTGTATGTCAATTAGAAATAGAAATTTGTTTTTGGTGCCCATAAACAGGATTTATCATTTCCCACCCTTAGAAGCTCATTAATAATGACACTGCTTTATACTGGTGTGAACCAACTATACAGTTTGCCATCTCCAAGCTTAAGGAGCCAATTTATAAATCTAAAGGAAAAAAATCTTGCCCTGGCTTCATGTATTTACTAAAGAAAAATATGTCAAGAACAGCAAAGAGATGAAGAATCATAGAATGGAAAAATGAATAGATTCTACATCTGTCTCTTGCCTACCAGTAAACCCCATGATTCTATCGGTGGGAATTTCAATGTAGCAATTGTACATAAAAGGTCGTTGGTGTAAAAACTTCTAGGTATCTTGGCATCTTGTGTCCCCAGAATCAAATTGCGAAGACAGCTAGCTGCCTGTTTCGCCACAGATGATTCTCATTTGAAAGAAGTGTGAAATTATTGATCTTAAAAACATAAAGTAATCTAGAATTTTAATATAATTAAGAGGACAGAGTTGTTTTGTTGTGGAATACAGTGTGAGACATGGAAAGAATGGATTTTATACTCTGAGGTTTTGTGATCTTCCATGTTTCGGGCATTCCACTGAGATGGCCAGCCATACTTAAGTGAAGTGGAATTGGCAGTGCATTATTATGGAACCAGGTATTACTATGGCTCTCTCTGGATGTTAAAGTAACTGAATATAGAAGGGGCCATTGCTGGAGAGTAAGAATCCAATCCAGATTGAAGTCACTGAGTCATATGTATCCAGACTGAATGTGAGATGTTGGAATCAACTTTTGTAGGAGAGAAGAAATTAGTGTGCTCAGCAGAGAAGATCAAAGGACAGTGGTAAATAACCTGTCCTTTCCACCCTTCTGCCCTCTTCATAACTCTGAGGTAGAAAAAGGGAAAAATTAAATGGTTTGTGAAAGCGGAAAAAAATCTTACCACATTGATGCTTCATGAAAAAGATAATGACATTGGCTGTATCATTTTTCCTGATAACCAATAGAATATAATATGGCGTATGATCAAAATATACAGTGAATATTTAAAGTTTTAAAATTTGTTATGGTAAAAGCCA